TTATTATCAACACAGTTACTTTTTTATACAGTGAGGTAAATGTGCATGTATGTCGTTCAGTATGTGTTTACAGGTGAATACGTCTGCATCACCATGAAATGTGCAAATTGACATAAAAATTAATAAAAAGGGGAAAAAAATGCTCCATGTTTTTTAGGCTGTAAACTTTAACTGTTATGTAAGCCAACTAGACAGACAGTGTATCACTATTCTTCCTGTACATTAGCAGATAAAAGGCATAACATACTTGAATGAATGGTAAATAAAGAATGCTGGAAATAACTGCATCTCCATGAGCCTATAGCCTATGCTATGCAGAGACTGCCTTCTTCATGTCGTGAATTGCAGCTGATGTTTTAATATTGCAATTGGCAATTTGACTTATACAACATTCGCAAGTTGTACATTTGACTCATACAATAACCTACCTTCGAGTGATGCTCTAGTTTCTTCATGTTTCGTTTTTTTTCCCTCTTGCTTGCGCCGGACTGAAACTGTCTTTTCACCGACATCTCTTCACCTGCACTAGTGGCCGTATCAAAGCCTTGATTGGTCGATTCATTGCAACGGTGTCGGGTTACAGACGTGCTCCCCTTGTCACCTCTATCTCGTGTGTCAGCGGGGGGTGCGCGGAGAACTGCGCACAGCAGCTGAGGCCCTCTGGGCGGGGCCCCATGCGCAAGGCGGGGCCCATGAAGCCTGCGTGATTGGCCTGTAGGGAGGGGCGGCCCTGACCCCGACGGTCGGTTGTTATTGTCAATATTAAAATTATTATTATTTATTTTTTTAATAGTCACACTCGATTTGGCCAATTTTCTTGTTGCCCCAGCTGGTCGACACCTCTTTTAGCAGAAACAAAGGCTACATTAATGTATTAAATCGATGTTAATCCATGCGTGTGGATGTGGAATTAACGGACGTGACGTTGTGCGATTGCGTTGCCAGGCAACAGCTTGGGTTCATGTTAATTTACAAACTCTTCAACTAGAACCATAGTNGGTAAATAATGTATGTTTCAATTAACTAATAGTGATGATTAGTTTATATTTATTCATGTCTCAGACGGTGTGGACATTCTAACTACAGAAACGGGGACTGTTTCGACAAAAAATGCCTTCTGTCACAACTGACAGAAGATAAAGCAGATCCCTTAGTGAAGGAGATGATGCAGCACTGTGTACCGTTCAAAACGAAAGACCATGCTGTACTCCAAAGACGGTCACCAGTAATATTGCTGACAATAGGCTTTCAGTCGTCTATCCACATTGATCACACCCCCCACCACACCCACACACACCCCCACACCCACAACACACGAGTTTTCAGGTTTCTCACAGCAATGCACGAGCCGTAGCAATAAGATGGCTTGTTTCCATTTATCACAAACTTGTCCAGTTCCATGTCTCATGCAACTTTTTTATTTAACGCTGATGATATTGAACGCCATCAACGAGAATAACGGCCAAGGTGGCCTATGAAGCAAATGATCATGCCTCTACAAGTTATATAGTATTATCACACAGACAGAGGAGTAAGTGAATGCTACTATGGATTGTATTTCACTGTCGTAAATCATAAAGTCTAATTTAGATTGTAGTGCTTCTAAAACTCTGCGAAGAGCTATAAAGCAAAAACACGTTTACAACAGAACGCACTTTTCAGTTTACCTCTGTTTTTTTATATGAGTCTGACCTGACTTCTTACGACTTTTCTTCAGAGCCTAAATTATTCGATTTGTGTCTGGGACTACATGACGAGTATACGTCTGATACTCCGACAATCTTATATCCTTTTTTCCTCGTATAAGTACTACATCGAGAGTTTTAGGGTCTATTGCCTCGGAGAACAGCGAGAGGATGGGTAGCAGATCGGGGCGCTTATACTCGTCCCTTTTCGCTAGATAGTACACTCTGCTCGAACATCCGAGCTCAATAGTCACGTTTATCTAAGTATGCTAGAGAAAGAAAACGCCAACAGAGGAATTCTGGAACCCAGTCCTAGGCTCGGTTGAGGAGGAGGAAGAGGACAATGGAAGAAGAAAACGACTGCAAGAGTGACAACAGCTCAGATGATGAAGAGACGCAGAGAAGGGACTTGACTTGTGGAAAGTTACTTGGTGCCCTTATGCAGTTCTATAGTTAAAGCGGACATATTATGCTATATTTTCAGGTTCATATTGTGTCCATATTTGCTATCAAATTAGCGTGCTGTCTTCTTGCCATTTCACAGCCCGCGTCTCTTATGGTCATGCATTCTGGACTCTATAACTAACCAATTCTATATTTCAGTCAAAGAACTGAGACTGGTTTCAAGACGCTAGAATATATGAAAAGAGTACGTAAAGGGAATAAGATTGCTCCAAACACAAAGCAGTCTCTAACACTTACGACCTGTGGGTTGTTTATTTATGTCGTACTGGTTAATAACTAGCATATTGCTGTCACCGTACGCATATGTTTCGCGAGACACAAGGCGAGCTAACATGTAGATTTTCGTCTGGCATTTGATTAATTGTGGCGTCTTTTACATTAAAGCGGCACCATATTAAGCTTAGTTTGAGGTTGAAATGAGTGCTCTACTGTGACCATGTTCACGTCAATGCTTTAATGTTTTTCAGATAAATCTTACCTATTTTCCTCATATTAGACAGTCGTTCTCTCTCTACAGGTGCAGCACCTCTCACTATCTAGAAATATTCACATATCGTATGATCCTTTGTCATGAGTGCTATGTATGATACTGCATACATATACGTGTATCAGATTGAACTCTGTTATGTGTATTGGCTCACCACCATAAGTAGAACAAACTTCTATGTCACTCTCTTCGCAAAATAAATAGTAAATAAGATATCTTGATTTTGTATCATAACTGATACTCGATATTAATAGATTCATACTTCGAGGTACATAACACACTTGATATGGTTATTACATTCATAAATCCAAAGAGTTGTCTCTGCACTTAGCACTACAAAATATACCCAATCTACGCTCTGAACTGATGCGTTATTTGCCTACCTCTGTTCCGGGTACAGTCTGTTTTATTATTATGACTGAGTAAGATTTTGTTATTGATATTGGATTGTCACATTACCTATAACTCATACTCTACTTATTCTTACATATTGAACACGTATATTGTTTGAGGCGATAGCGGGGACATGAGGCGCAATGTTTAAATACAAGCTTATCGTTGCTCAAAATGGCACTGGGTTATGGTAAATTAAGGCGATTGAAGCCGACATGCTTCACAAGTGGTGCCATACATAGAGCAGACATCGCACAACGTCAGTGTTTCCGTTTACAAACACAATCGCGATGACAATTTAGTCAGTTAGTATTTCTGTCTGTGACTGTACTGGTGGATGAGTCTGTTAAGCTATTCAAGATATTATGTCCTCTAGCAACATGGCCGATTGTACAAGAGGTACACTTTTAAAAATAACAAAGTATACACAATTCGAATCAATTAGACATTATTGAAGCCCACATATATGGTTCCATTCTGATTTACAATAATACTTTTTAGCATTTTATCCTGCTACTATCGTCTATTTTGAGTGTAGTAATACAAAATCACTAAAGTGTACGTCTTATTCATTAGAAACACGCCCCCCCCCCCCAATTTGTAATCATTATTTTAAAAAGCTTACTAAATCTGAGGTCATGTATATGTAATTATAATTCGGATAGTAATGCCAACTCATCCACCAGTTGTAAACAAATTTAAATGTATTAAATCGATGTGTGTGGATGTGGAATTACTGGACGTGACGTTGTGCGATTGTGTTGCCATGCAACAGCTTGGGTTCATGTTAATTTACAAACTCTTCAACTACAACCCTAGTTATATTTAAAACATTTTTAGAAGGCCTCGCGAAATACTTTAATGTAAATAAAAATGTGAAGGAATGTGTGTATAACAAAATACATCCGTCATTAACAATACCGGAAACAGACATAGGCAAGATCCTCAGCTCGGTGATTTGGATGTCTTGGTAAATCGTCACATGTTCACGTCTTGCTGTGGTACCGGGTTAGTTTAGGAATAAAGTGCACTCACCACTAGAGCAGTCCAGTCCCCCCCATCCGGGCTCACACTGGCATGTATCAGGAGACACGCAGCGACCGTGGACACACTCCTCGGTACACAGAGCTGAGACACACAGAGACGTTTCCTCATTAGTCTAGTTTATAATTGAGCTAATGCACATACACACATATAAGCAGAGTGTAAAACATCATTAAAACACCAATAAACAGCATAATGAAAACCACAAAGATAACAGCTGAAAGAAAATGGCCCATAAAATGTAACACTCAATATCTCCTAATACCGCCAGGGGAGTAAATCTTAGCCATGGCACTCATATTCAACATTCATCCCCACTACTTGACAATGAGCTAAATGATTTCTCGGGAGACTGAGTCCTTGGTTAACATCTTTGTTTATCACATAGCTTTACTTTGCACAATGAGCTGTTATCTGTATGCTGAGCTATAAATGAACAAGCTGTAAATCCCTTCTAATTTGATCAGCAAGTGCTTTGTCATATAGTGAGGCTTTAATGTAGCAGGTCCAGGCACCTCAGTGTTTACTAAGTGTGCAGTTTTCTTGATCATTCATATTGAGCAACACGGCACCCGATTGATTGGGTCTGCATTAGTATTCCTGGGAGCGTTTTCATAAGAGTCGGAGATTCGGTTCGGCTGGATAATAAAGTGTCCTACAAAGAGTTTTCTCCTTTGCCACAGTGCCATTTTTTTTCTCTGAAGCCAAGAAGGAGAAGAATCATACAAAAAAGCGCTTAGCATGAATAAATATGTCGCAGCCAAGGTCATCTGGCCAGCGGGGTTACGACAGGCAGGCTCTTATCTGAAAAATGAGACAGTGTGGCCACTATGACAAGAGAGAAGCTCAGCCTGATGGGAATCAGCAGTCCGCTAAAACAGGGATTTTAGCGGACTGCTAAAAGGGATGATACACTATCCAAGGGCAGCAGACATACCATCGCTTTAACTGAACATCCACTAATCCGAACACTTCATTCAAGTCCTACTTATTTTGTTATTTGTTCTTGTTTTATGGTCAGAATTAAAAAGTACAGCAGGATAAAATCTGTTGGGCTTTATACGAAAAAGAAATACGGCCTGGGGTGCTTTGCAGATCTGTGTGCAACACCATACCGCTCATCCTGCCGGCAGAGAGGTCAGCAGAGAGCTGGATGCAGGCCTAAACAGTGCTACTATAGATTATCACTCAATCAGTCATCGATTAGGATCCACCGCCAGCGGGAGAGATGCTGCAGGAGAGGAGAAAGACGAGTGAATCCCAAACACCCACGAGCCGATGCTAATCGCAGAAATGCTCCCAAGGCAAAAACGGTAAACCAGAGATTGAAAGATAATTTCTGAGCATCAGTACTCTGGCAGAAAACGGTCTAATTATAGTAAGCCAGCGGAAAGAAAATGGAAAAGAGCTTGAACATTTGTGCTGACGAAGGTGTGAGATCGACTACCTGTAATCAATGAGTCCACAGTATGCAGAGTATTCAAAGAGAAGAGGAGACAAATTCAATGTCACCATGAGGACTTGATTTCGTTTACTTTCAATCAGCAAATTCTGATCAGCGAGAACAGGGAAATGCAAATGTGTCGCATCCTTTATATAAATAAAAAAAAGGAATATGGAAATGAAGTTTTGAATATGGGAGAAGGATAAAGCGCACCGTTCTCCTGAGATCTGAACCGGTGTTCTGAAGGGATGGCATAATAAAGTAGGAGGAGGTAGGTCTTTCATTTTAATTGAAATTCATGAATCACTCTGCTTAACTCATGTCTAAGGAATCTGTTGGAAAATTGAGTCTTTCATCTAGATAAAAGGCTAATCTAACTCATTATGCAGAGGTGTTATCAGAACAGGGAACAATGGAGCTAATTGGTGATTTTCATTCAGTGTTAATACATTTTCATATTCTTGCCCAGTTAAAACTACAATCTTTTCAAATGTCTATAAATGTAATATCTTTTTAGGCTTTACTCAAAGTGTGTTTCTCTCCAAGTTTTTGAGAGTTTTCTCCAGTAAAAAAAAAGAAGACATTTAAAGTCTAATTCTATGTGTTTGTCATTTTTGTTGTACACCAGAAAATGAAGTGAACAAAATGTGGAACATTATGAAGAAGCTGATGGATAAATCAATCTCGGAGATATGCCTACAGAACATATCAAACAACTCGCTCCAAAGCTTCCTCCCCATGCCTCAATCTAGCACAGAGATGATTCATTTTAAAACCGTGTCTTTGAAGCATTAAAAAAAAATGCAACAAAGCCAAAAAAGAAAATGAAATCAAAGGCACAGAATCCCTTTCTGGAGAAAAATCTCATCATCTCCATCATCAAAACCCAAATGTGAAATGTGCTAGTGTATTGCCGCCTGAAACTTTTTCAGGACCAAATTAAGCCTGCCGCCAAAACCATTTTTAGAATTACTCTGCACCACTGGACAGGCAAGAGTCATGCAGAAGTCATCCAACCCAAATACTCTGCAAAAAAAACGGACTCATAGCCTCAGAGCCTCTCAACCTCTGAGGATATTACGAGCTGTTGTCATTAGAGAGTTCCCCTCATGCACAACTGTAATAATCATGCTTATTAGGAGGGAAATGAGTTCCTCTCATCCTCTACATAGGCTAGTTGCAGATTAAGGTAATGACTTACGACAGATCAAAGGTCACAGAATTAATAAAGACCTCTAGTAGAAAACTTCAAGCACTAATTAGCAAGAAACCGATCAAAGTTTAACTTATCGTGGAGAGCTTGAGAAAATTAGACTCCAAATAAAAATATGTTCTAAACAACATGCTTAAAAAAAGCGTCCGTAAACGAAAATGTTGCTGATTTACTGTCAAAGGCGTTTTTACTTTTGTGTGTTACTCTTGGTTCATTCAAGGTCTACACAGCCCCATATTTGTTTAGCCACCTCTAATTGGAGCTAATGTAAGTGTTGATGCTGTGCCATATGGTAATAAAAACAAGCAGGATTAAGACGTCAAACACTCTTTAAGCATTTCTGACTTTTTATGAAATGGAATGAAGAAAGCTACAGTAAACAATACACAAGGGGAAGGGGGTATTTTACATTCAGCAAACAACAAAGTGTCTTGAAATAAATAGACAACTTGAGTTCATTTTGGGTCGATTTACTCTACAATGCCCCCTTTTGTCACTGCATGCAAAACAGCTCGGGGTGTACAAATCTCTTAATCCTGGTAGTGAGAGTGCTAGGATTAAAAGGGGAGGAACAGTTTGCAAAGGCAGCAGAAAGCCAAACTGCCCTCTTGGCCCCTATCAACACAGTTTCCCTACTTCAACTAAAAGAGGGTCAAAGGGGAGAGTCGCTGTTTCAACACTCAGCCTGACATATAATATTTAAAAAAAACCTATTGTTCATATGACGGGAAGGCCAGACTGGAGAGAGGCACCTCCTCTGTTTGTAAATTCCCCTGGTTAACACCCAGAAGAGTCTGTCAATGACCAACTAGCTCGATTGGCAGTCAAATGGTTAATGAATACATTATTGATCAATCTGCCCCTCCCTCCTCAAGACCTCCAGATAATCATCGCAGCTCTTATTCTGTGCTGGCTGGCTTCCCGGTGCCCTGAGGCTGGTAAAACCTAGACAGGGACAAGCTCAGCTGTGGTCAAAGAGCATACCCACACCAGTCCCTGTATCAGTAACTCCCTCATGTTGTGAAAAATCTAAGAAAAATATTATAGTTTGATTCCAATCTTATTTAAAAAAGGGAATAAAACATTAGGTAAGGCGAGAATATCAAGAACGTAACTCTCAGAAGCTATAGGTTCTGTCTTTATTTGGCCAAGATGCAGAATATTCAGTTTGATGTGTGTGAATATAAATAGAATGACAATTAATGAAGCTAAAAACAACACAGGGAAGGATTGTTAACAGCACATACTGTAGCTTCAGTCCAATTTTCACAGCTTGTGATTATTTTATGTTATTCAATTGCACTGTGGTTTTATGACGGGTGCTTTACCTACTGGGTTTGTAACGAGGACTGTCCTGGCTCGTAAATTTGTGTCATTGTTATACAACTTCAATTAAATTACTTATAGTGGAAGAGTAAAGTAGAGAGCAGTCTGCTGTGCCCTCCTAATAAATCCTTCTCAACCACCTAAAACATGGATCACCATCACATGGATGGCGGTATGCTAACAGAGAGGGTGGTGGTGATGAAGAGGATCAGACAGGAGTGGGGGGGACAGAGGTGGAGGGACGACTGTGTCCTGGTGGGCCGTTTTAGCCTTATTTGCCTACAGTAAAAATCATATTATTTACTCCTGTTCTCTAAAGGTCTTGCACACATAAACTGACACCATTGAGAAAAAAACAAAGGATACTCACGAACACACAGGTCTCCGCTCTCAAAGTAACCCGGGCAACACTGCGAGCGGCGCCTATACATGGTCCTCACTCCCCGCCGGTAAGCCGTCTTATAGCTTATCCTGGAAAAACGGACACACAGAGACAGCTGCGTGATGCAAAGAGTGACCCTCGCTGAAGGGCAGAAAAACATATAGAAGTTTAAAGTAAGCCCTGGCATACATTTCCATTGTCATTGGCAAAAAAAGATTAAAAGCTATGTTAATTTTGCATAAAGTAGCTGCTACTTAAAAATTCTGTACTTAAGAGGTGTCTCTGTACTTTCTGTGTTTAGTTAGATGCCCATTTTAAACCTTAATGGAATCATTAAAACATGAGATGATTACAGCCAGTGGCATCGAGGATCTGAGCACTAACGCATTAACAAGGACATTCACTATGGCCTTCATTGACAGTAAAGGGCGAGTCACTCATGAAACAAATATGGGGACGAATTCTGCTCCTCCAAACGTACCTGTGCCTCGTGCATTTAAACCAGTTGAGGATATCTGTGCATCTGGTGTAGTAGATCTGGTCAAACGGGTGAGCGTAGGACTCTTGGACAGTCACAGCGTAGCTAAAAGAAAGGAATGTAAAGACACCAGTGGTAAAGAGTCATTTTGAGATAATGTAACCTAATTTAAATGGTATATTAAAATGTCATGTTATGCCACTCTTTCAGTACTACATATCCGATGGAAATTGTGCTTTTTACTCTTCTACATTTATTTGGCAGTTATATTTCCAAAATAAGTTGTCATATTTAGATTTTAAATTTAAAATTAAGACTATAAGCTAGAAAATATAATAAATTGTTAGAACATGTACCCAGTGGTTTGCCTTGTTGTGTTTCAGATGTCTATTTTTTTTTTTTAAGCAGTTCAACCAAAGAGACAATTTGCCTCAAGAAAAAAAAGAATACTCCACAAAAAACAAAGATGAGAGAATATTACAAAGACAGAATTTGTTTTGTATTCTTTCCTTCAACCTTAATCCTCTAGAAACCCTTCAGATTTGTTTCTTTGGAGGGGGGTCCGACCCCTGGGATAAAAACCACTTGAATAAATTATTAAGCTAGCTCAACCTCGACCAACTGAAACAGCGAATTTCTGGTGTTACATCTATGTTAACAAGCCTGATAATATAATAATTAATCAAAGGAGCTTTTTTTCTTCACAACCCATATCTTTACATTCATACTATAAGTCAATTTAGCTGACACTGCTTCTATACCTACAATTCTGGGGGATTTGTTGTACTGGTTCTTTTTATTTTTCACTCTGATAATTCTTCCGTCAGTGCAACACTGCAATCATATTAAATATTTCTTGGAACATAGATTTTAATGCTCCTGGGAGAATTTTGGAGGAAAATAAAACAATACATAAACAGTACGCAGGCCCTGTCAGTGGATATAGTTTGAATGAAAGTAATACAATAACTTTGATATGCAAAGAAAGGACTTGAAAGGAGCTTTTAGGTGATTCATGTTTGTGATATATGCAGCCGGTCGCAGTCTCAGGATATTGGAGGACCTCAAAGCCATGAAAACAGCCCACTTAGGGAATTCATTTTCGATGCCAACAAGGTGGAACCACAATCCCTAAGTACACTCACCTTGGTCACGCAATAATCCAGATAATATATCTTCACACCTCTCTTTCCTCCCCTTTGCATCGAGAGCAGAAATTATTCCCGCTTATTTCTCATAAGTGACACTGCCCGCCACAACTAATAATTATTCAGGCTCCATCGTTGTTGTGATTGATTGGGATGAGAGTACACTGATCAATTTCCCTGCGTATTTCATTTGAGCTGCAACTCCTCCCATCTCTCAGAGCCTAGCGACATGAGCTGTGTGAGATCGATAATGCTGTATGGACTTTAAGAATAGATCTGAAACTTTAGTTAACAGCGTTTGTAGGAAGGACATTGAAAAGGTTCCAGGATGAACTATTTCAGTCCTGGTGCTGCTTAAATACAGCCGTCACCTTCAAAATCTAAAATTCAATGTATTGTGGTTATCACATACAGATGAAGCTTACCTCTCCCAGTGGCTGCAGACATTAGGGTCATCTGGATTCAGACTCCATACATTATAGGTCGATCCCAGAACCAGCAGCAGAGCCGGCAGGGCAACAGACGACCACATCCTTCACTCTGAGAGGAGACAGGGAAGAAAGATAGATGGTTGTACCATGGCTGTAACTTCAGTTCTCATGGTGGCCTTTTAAATAAGAACCTATTTCATTTCATTTCAAACCTTTATTTAACCAGGTGAATCCCAATGAAATCATTGATCTCTTTTTCAAGGGAGACCAGTAGCAAGTAGGTTATTTGATCTTGGAAGTGTTACATCTCCAATAATAGAAATGACCTTGTAAAAATGTTGCCTATGTTTAATGCAATAAGTTAGATTTTTTTTTAAATATGCTTTCCGTATTTTTCTTATATTCGACATATCACTCCCATACCAAGGCTATAGTTAATATGAAACTACAGCTAGAGAGCAGTTAGTTAAGCTTAGCATAAAACAATGAAAACAACAGAGGACGCCGCTACCAGGGCAACACATTTCCTTCCAGCAATTCCAGAGCTTATAAAAAGTTAAATTTATTGTAATTTAACTGTAAAAAAAAGAAATGTGTTTTACTGAGGCAAAGGTGGACCCTCATTAGTTGAACTTTTGTGCTCTTCTCCTGCTGGTAATATAAACGTACAAAGATGAAAGAAAAAGAAAGAAAGAGAGACATTTTGCATTTGAAAATTGCGTTCATTTGCCTTGCTTTTTGTCTAAATAGACATAGGTAGAGAAGTTGATTCTGATAACTCTGAAAAGAGAATGACCTTTTTCCTGGCTGTAGATTCATAATTATAAAGAAAGTGGTTTCAATCTTCTCATCATACTCTCTTCAAGAAAAAGTGCTTTTGGCCAAAAAGTCAAACCATTCAATTTCTTAATATTCCAGTTAGAACTGAAACAATAAATGATTAGGCATATTCTTGTTTAACATGTCCTCCTATGCTTTTCACCTTCCATAAGTCCTTCAAAAACCAAATGTGCTCTGCTCAGTGAGCAGCTCAGAGATGAAACCTCCCTGTGACAGTGACAGAGACGCTGATTTGTTTAGACCAGCAGGTTATTTCATTAGACCCACAGGCGGAAGGGTGCATATTATCAACGGACATGACAGTGATGGATTCGCCACAGGAGCAGAATTTACCTTAGCACGTTGCTACCGAAGATAAAGGATGTTTGGATGACACATCCATGACTGACACACAACATATCTCGCACTTAAGGTTAACAGCTGCATGCCAGAGCAGCGGCGTAACTGTATCTTATGTATGGTGATGGATTGTGGCCTCTAGAGAATAGAAAACACATTGTTGTATTATAAATACAAACACATGAGAATAAATAGGGAAACTGGCTGTATATATATATATCTTTGTAAAGCTCAATGGAGTGTATACATAATGTGATAGTTTGTTCATACATTAAGCTGTGTGTGCTCTGCATGTGCTACGTTGTGTTAAAAAAGGTTGTGTTCAATATTTCCGAGTGACTGTATCCAATAACACAGGCATTCACATGTTCGGCTAATCTTCTGCATTGATAGCCGCATGTAGTTAACTCAAATGTGAAAGAAAATCAATCAGGCCTCCACTTCCTCTAAGTAGCAGTTCATCTGAGCAGGCAGAGGTTAAAGTCATGTTCATTTCCTTAACAGGATGAATAATCAAGAAACACAGATGTTAAAGGGCTACAACTACTTTCATATTCAGGCCCTTCTATGAAACAATCCTGTTAAATACTACCGAGACCCTGCTTGATTGACTTGAAAGGTTTTATTGCTCCTATGATTAGACCACCACCACCCATAGTCATTTCTCTTAATGACTCTGGACAAGTGGAAATACTCATAACTTCTCACGTCATTGTGCAAACCTCACAAGTTCTTAGAATCCTGCGGTGGGAGGCAGAACGGTGATAACATTTAGATTTTCCTGAATTTGTGGCAAGGTAGCCAGGTTAAGCAGCCAGAGGCACGTGGCCCTGAGCTCACCTAATCCTACAGCCTGTGGTCCCCGGGTGTTTGTTGTGGCGGCTGAAGGGGCTCGGGAAGCACACAGTGACAGAAGTGCCGCTGTGCCAAGACACACACACACACACACACACACACACACACACACACACACACTCACTGGCAGAGGTGATGACAGGTCGCAGATCTGTGGGAGAAGAAAAATAATGAGCTTATGATGACACACAGAAGACACACACTCTTTTGCTTGCTCTCACACACACACACACATATATGCACATACACACACTCTTACATTTCTTATGGGATCAACAGGAATATAGTTCACAAAAGCTGCTCTTGAAAGGCCAATTTACTCTGCGGAGCCTTCACACAGTTTTCATTCCATTTTCCAGCATCCCTCCTACCTGGTATCCACTGATACTCTTAGTTACCCACAGAAATAAAAGCCTACATTAACTGAAGAGAGTCTCGTACAATGAACTCTGTGCACACTTCAAACACTACAAGTGGTTTGTGCACAATGTGACAAGATGACGTTACGTGTGCTCATTAGCGATGATAATGCACGCATGAAGAGAACATTGATGTGTTTATCATCTCTTTCACTATGCTGCTCTTAATGATTCCTCCAGGAGGTCAGAGGGCGGGTATGAGATTATATCGCCGTTTATGTGCTGTGAATTCTGAATAGCATGTTAACATATGCATGAAATAATAAAACGGCTGTTTTTGTTGTCGGCTAAATAAATAATTCAAGATTATTTTCTATGTAAGCTGTTGCTAAGGCCGAACTGGGCGGACATTGACACAGAAGACTGACCAATTACAGAAAGAATAGACTTGTTATGTCTATAATCAGAACTGAATTTAAATCAACCTGTCTACAGAGAGCCCTTGTCAACAAGCACCAATACTTAAATTAAATAACATTAGGATAACTGGATCATATTTAGCAGATACAAAAAAACACCTTTACTTATTTTTTCCCCCGACAGAAACCCATTGTAAAGGTTGTTTTGTCATTTATTTAACTAGTGCTCAATGTGGCAATACAAGTTCCACATTATAAATTATGTGATTTTCTAATTAACTCCTAAAGTAGTCATCAAAGCACTTCAGGACCCTTCAGATTTGCTCATGACATGATAAGTTCTATGGTTTTTAGTAAACAGAAATGATTTTGAATGCTGTATTTTTTTCTCGGCCCACCATGAAAGAAAGACTGCAGCTGCAAATTCTGACCTAATATTTTCTTTTCACTACAGTTAGGTATCACACTGAGATGTCAAGCCAAATCTTAACCTAATCTGCTCCACTGAGTTATTTGTGTGCAGCGCTGCATTTGCCAGAGGAAAAGGCTGGTGACTTTAAATATTTGAATGTCAAGGACAGGAAAATCCTTGATATTGTTTCATACCTGAATAGATCTCTGCCTTGTCCTTTAACATGGTTCAACATTTTAAATCTTTAAAATAAATACAAAAATGTAAACAACTTCAAATAACGGTTCACTGGGTCGAAGTGACTTTTGTTCATTGTTTATTCTGCATACAGAAACAAGGATGAACAAAGAGCACTGCATGAGACAGAGAAGTCGGATCAATATGGCGCTTCATCATCACTTGGGGCTCTTCTGTATTCCTCTCCTCTTCCCTGTATCTGCCGACATCCGCAAAAACATTTTGTTTCTGTTTTGGCTTCAAACATGTTCACTTTACACCAAACTAAATGCTCTCCAGAGACCTTACTCCCCCCTAAATGAATTCCTCTCCTGTTCCCCATCACTTTGATTACTGAGAGTATGAAACCCTCTCTCTCGGTGAGCTGCTACATCTGATGCGCTGAAAAACTGCTGAAATAGCAACATCTCTTAGGCTATTGATGGAGACACAAGTGCAAAGTACAAGAAGCAGGTTAAACTGTAGAGTGAAGGTGTGTGTCGGAGCTAGGGTATGTGAGGATAAGGACTTCTGAATCTTGACACGGACACTATGGTTAACATCAGACACCTGCCTGCAGAAACATTGATGAGCCAGACCTCTGTCCCCAGCACCGCCTCAGCACAGACATCTGCATGATTAAAGCCGTGTGTCTCCAGCATGTGACTTATTAAAGTGCAATGCAATTAAGCACCCCGTCCCCTGGCTGACCAGCATCTGCACTCTTGCATGAATGATGCTCAGAGGCAGACATGACTGACTGGTACAAGTCAGAAGCTCCCCTCCCATCTACCCTAGCTGCTTCTCAGTCTCATCCTAGTGCTCTATGTGCTCATTTATCACAATGCTCAATTTCTTCTTGCTTGTGTTAATTTACATCTACATAATGGAAACCAGTCAACGGAAACTTTGCTTGGTATTGCAATCTTGTCTGGAGCAGCACAGAGAATGCCTGAACAGTTGTGGGTGTGTGTGTAACATGTCTTTGCACCATCAGCCTATTATCCCTCCTATAGATTCAAGCGGAGGGCTCATATACAATTTTTATGAGAATCCTCCCGGCCACTCAATCTGTTTTGTAATCACTACTGAAGGCATCCCGGAGCAAGCTAATTCGGAGTGATCTAAAGGTTACAGGTGTAACCGCGCAGCTCAGAGTGCCAATGAGATAAGCCCACTGCCGGCCATCCCTGTCTGCTGCTGGGGGCTGAGAGTCATTAGGAGTCAGGCCTCATTAGAGAGCTGCCCCCCCGGCTGCAGCCACACACCTGAGCGGCTGATGTGTCGGAGGCCAGGGGGACAATGACATGTCGGGGGCCGTGCTGGTTTCTGACAAGCGGAGCATAAAAACAGCACACACTGGATGTCTGCTTCTACCGCCTGCAAAAACTCAGTTTAAAGCTCCTTGGATTTTACTGCAGTATTTTAGGCCCATGTTTCAACTGGGCGAAGTGGTGGAAAGTAATTAGGTGAGATAAATGTACACAAGTCCTGGACAAGTTAGAGCATGGTGTAATGATAATGTTTTCTTTAATTTGCCTCTATATTGTTTAATGTATTAGTAGATATCAAACAGACACTAAATTGTCATGTTTAATCGTTATTTAAGTAAATTAATCCAGAGTTGGGCACATCTTCTCCAACGCCTCCCAACTAAACTCCTGTTTCC